GGTGTCCAAGCTCTCATCTTGCGGATATCCGCCAAGCAAAGGAGGCGTGCTAGGCTGAGTCTCAAGCTCCTCGGGAGTTTTGGAAGTGAAGGGCGGATCAGGCACCTGTCCCTCAGCTGACGGATCGGGCGCCTTTCCCTTGGCTGGCGGATGTGGCACCTTTCCCTCAGCTGGCGGATCTGGCGCCTGCAAAACCTTTCCCTGCGGATCTGGTGCCTGCAAAACCTTTCCCTCAGCTGGCGGATCTGGCACCTTCCCCCCAGTTGGCTGACCATGTTCCCCTTCAGGTGGCTTTGTCGCACATTGCTCCAAATACTGAATGAAAGCTGGGTCCGTGGCAACCCCATAATCCGTCTTGGCATCCTTCTGCAAATAAGGTAGCAGGCTGCCACTGATGCAAAGACTCACAAGCTGTGCCTTGCGGGCCTTGACGCCGTCCTCCCCCAATGAACCCGTTGAAGCTTCGGCCGCGATGATCTTCAAGATGCCCATTGCATGTTCCGACTCAACATGGGCCCCGACCACAACTTGGCACTTTTGGAGCCACTTGTGTGAACCCTTCTTGTTCAAACAGACCGCAATGTCAGCTCGGCCATTTTGAGGTTTCAACACAACCCTCCATGCAGAAGTTGCAGCTCCAGCTGCACCCACACCCTCAAAGTAGCCCTCGTCCAACAGCGTGGACTCCTGCGCAGGCTTGGCCTCAGAATCGCCAGCTAGGCGCGGGCTCCCAGCTGCTTTCGCCTTGGCCTTGGCCTTGGCTTTCGGCGCCTCGTTCATGAGCTGGCGCCAATCTCCCTGCGAGACAGGGCGAAAGGGAACTTAGCAACTGTTTAGATGTCCTTCTTGGGGGCTGACATCATTTTTTGCTAAAGGTGGGAAACTTGCATGGAAAGTAGTTCTGTGGCAGAACGCCGTGTTGATTTTCCTGGGAAACACAACCACCCCTTCCCCTGAAGGGGCCTTGTTGCTTTTTTGGGTGAATTGGCCAAAGGCGCCTGTGTGATGTGTTCCACAACGAAAGTTGCGCCATCTTTGAACTTCCACACCAGAGGGGCCAAGTGGTCGCCGGATGGGTCCAGGGACGGCTTCAGGCTGAACTCGATGGGCCCTTTGCGGCTCCCTCCCAAAAGCTCCTTGCGCCAGGCCAGCTTGTGGTCTTGCGACCAACCATGTTCGAATTCAGTAGGCTTGGGTGGTGTCGCGGTCAATGTCAAGGGCTGCGGCCGAAAGCCTGAACAAGAGCGGAAGGTCCTCACATAAACCCTGATTAGACATGGGAGGAAAAGAAACACCTGTTGTTCAGACATGTTGCCGCAGAAAAAGAAGACCAACAGTCTTTCAAGCTCAACCTGGCAACCTGCGCAAGGCTCGGCTCTCAAGATCATGTCAGTGACAAAGCCGTGCTCAGGCAGTGACGGCATCATCGCCTGGATGCTCTGCATAGCCTTGCCCTCAGAGAAGCCACTGCTGGATGGTTTGGCATCCTGAGCAAAGCAGAAATGGTTGCCCAGGCGACTCCAAACCTTAAGCAAAAATATTTTTCTGTCGAGAGATATGGTTTTGTTGGGGGGATCAACGCATGTTGAATAACGCGAGGGCTCTGATGGAGCGGCTGCAGGTGGCGGAAAGGACTCTTCCTCCTTGGCCTTGGCCCTTGCCTTTGCCTTTGGCGTCTTTGACACCTTTGGTTTCATCTGCTGCGACGACTTCTTTGGCATTGTTTTCGCTGCTGTTTTCTTTCTGCTTCCCATGGCTTCTGTGGACTTTGATTTCTTGATCTTCAGCCAGCCCTTGGGGCTGGAGGCTTGCCTGGGTTTTTGTTTCTGCGGTGCGAGGCTCGGCTCTTCCTTCTTTTTTTTCCTCCGTGCGTCGCCTTTCACGTCACCACCATCGCACTCTTCCACTTCCTCCATTTCTTCCTCTACCCCTTTTTCCTCTTCCCCCCCTTCCTGATCCTCATCATCACTGCCTTCCTCCCTGTGCTCCTCATCATCACTGCCCTCCTCATCCTCCGACTCTTGCGTGCTTGTTGTTGTCGAAGCGCTGTCCTCTGGCGCAGCCTCATCCGCTTCGCAAGATGCCGCTGGCCGTTTGAGGGCCCGTGGGGAACCTGTCCACATTGCCTATAGCAGGGTTACAGGGCAAGAACTGCAACCCGAGGTTATTAGGGAGATTTCTGGCGCGGTCAAGGGCTGATAAGCGTTTCCACATGGCAAAACTGCGTGCGTTTGAACACATAAACCAAACCGAATTGGGGTGTGAAACACGTCGCTCAAGTCGAAGGTTCATGTTAAACCGGCCTTGGGGATCCATTTCCTGCAGTTGAGCGCTTCTTGAGACATGTGCCTGAACATCGCTGAAATCCTCAAGCTGCGCCCGCTGGCCCAGGCTTCCGCGTTGGCTGTCTCGCACACCTTCACTTCCTGAGTCGCCGTCCGGTGTCTCAGGGCAAGGGATGGCAAGGGCATAACAGACGCTTGTCGCTTGTTTCTTTTGGGCTGCAAAAGCAACCAACGAGCAAATCAGGTGTTTGCTCTGTAGCTGCTGACTGTGTTTGCGTTGAGGGCGGCCTCAGCAACACAGTTTGATGCATGGGTATTTCCAAACACAAGACAACGGGTGCCACGTCAGCCAAAATGCGTCGTTCACTTTGAGCAGAGCTTTGCAAATCACACCAGTTGCAAAATTCCAAGTGTTGCTCACCTCCTGGACGCGCTTCAGGTGCGGCAGGTATAACTTCAGCTTCTCCAACTGCTTTGATTTGATTTTCCTGGGCGTGCCAACGTGCTGTTCCAACATGCGGGTGCACACATCAAAAGCACATGCCAGAATCACAACAACTGCAACTTTCATTGAAGATTCCTGTCTGCAGTGTAGCTCACAAAATTCAGGCTCTGAACCCAAGGCTTGAGCGCCTCTGCCAGCTCCTCCACGTTGCCGCTCCCATGCAGGCGGCCAAAAGCCTTGGCTGTCTCGCGCTTGGAGCCGCGAGCCATTCGCGCAAAAGGCGCTGCAGGCAGACTACTGTTAAATTGACATAGATACCATGGTTTGCACGTTTGGTTGAACTGGTGGATCGAACATTTGCCATGGACACCATGGTTTGCACATTTGGTGGATCCTGAACATTTGCAGGCGTGCCATGCGCACACAGGTCATTCTCATGAATCCTGGAACCCATGCGGCTGCAGTCGGATTGTAAGTCCTTGAACTCTGAACTTCTGGCAGCATGCGTGTAAGGCTCATGAGTTCGTGGGCCATTTCACTGAACCCGTGAAAACATGTTCGAACGCGAAGCCTCCCAAAATCGAAACATGGAACAGCATCGAAAACGCACACAGTATGATTTGGAGATGTGTTTCTTTATGGGGGTCAGTGCTAAAACAACATTGCGCGAACACCAACTGCGTTCTTCGAATCTGATTTGGAGACATGTTTCTTTTTGGGGTCAGTGCTAAAACTACCTTGCGCAAACAGCAACTGCGTTCTTCGAAGAAAAACACAGCCTTTGCGCAACTGTTTTTTGTTGCAAGAAGTTCATGTTTTTAATTCAGCATCACTCAGAAACGTAAGTTATGTTGCAAGCCTTTCGTGTTTTAAATTCAGCATCACTCAAAAAACGAGTTGTAGTTTTACTTACGCCCTTTCAACTTTTAAATTCAGCATCACTCAAAATAACGCGAGTTGTAGTTTTAATTACGCCTTTTCAAAATCTTTGCGCGTGTGACATTTGTCTGTCGCATGTTGGGTTATCAGTTGTTACCTGACAAGAGAGACTGGGTCACCAGCCGTCACCTGGGATGAACATGCCCTGAAAAACGTGAGATGTGATTGTGATTTTTTTCTGATAAGGATTGGGTAGACGGCCGTTACGTGAGCTGCAAGCAGGCCCAAAAAGGAAAGCTGTTGTCATTTTCTCTGTCGCGTGTCCGGTTCTCAGCCGTTACTGTAGGGTTATCAGCCGTGAGCTCGGTCGCAAGCCCTCCACGCTGCGTCTGCGGCGCACGTGCGTGCATGGCTGTCGCTCCTTGCGTCAAGAGTGGCTGCCCCTGCAACGCGAAGTTGTCTGTGCCTCAACCAGGCGATCGCTCTGCTATAATTGGCCCGCGACACATTGGCGCGCATTTGCGTTGGCCACCTGTTTGTCTACATCACGTGCGCGTGGCCATAACACGTGCGTCCTCATAGATGCAAACACTCTATTTTTTAGAGCGCCTGTTAAGACATCTGTTTTTTAGACAGCATCCGGGGTCTGGGATGTTCTGATCTGTTTCTTTTTCCCCCTCATGAATTTAACGAAATATGTTACCTTACTGGACCTACGACCCAAACTACTTTTGATGACGTATCGCCTTTTGATGCATCCACGAGCGCAAGAGGTAGCAAATGTCCCCAGTTGTTTTGCAAATCGACCGCGCCAATCCGGGCAGAGTGTGTCATTTTGTCAGTGTGGCTTTGGTCCCGCCGCGCCTCCTGAAAAGATAACTTGAATCTCTCGCGCAAGCTTTCTCGCGCGAATGTGCTCGTGCGAGTTTGTGCGTGTGCAAGATTTATCGCGCAGGTTGTCTCGTGCAAGTGTGCTAGTGGAAGGTGTCTCGCGCAAGTGTGTTAGGGCAACTTTTCTCGTGCAAGTGCTCTCATGCAAGTGTGCCTGGAAAGTCTGCTCTTGCGAGATTGCTCGCGCAAGTGTTCGTGTACAGCTATTTCCGCGCAAGTGTGCTGATGTAAGGTGTCTTGTGCAAGTGTGCCCGCGTGAGTTTGCTGGCGGTTTCTCGGAAGAGCCTTTCCCAATGCTTCGGGAAAGCCAATCGTATCCCCCAAACGACCCAAAACAAGTGCAGATCGAGTTGCCATTTTTCGGAAGAACTTGGCCCGGCTTTTCGGGTGAGGTGCCGGACTACGCTTTCAGTATGGTGTCGGGGTTGCGGCCTATCCACCTGGCAGCGATGCACGGGTGCGACGCCTGCCTGGAGCGGCTGCTGCACCACGGGGAG